CGCCCCAGTGAATGCTGGAGGTCATGATCCGAGGAGGCTAACAGGACCACATCATCTGCAAACAGCAGAGAGGCTATCCCGAGACCCCCGAACCTGACGTTCTCCGCCATATCCTGTCCATGAAAGTCACGAACAGGACCGGTGACAAAGGGCAGCCCTGGCGGAGGCCAACACCCACCGGGAACGTGTCTGACTTATTACTGAGAATGCGGACACAGCTCCTACTGCAGTCGTACAGAGACCGGATCGCCCGTTGTAACGGGTCCGGCACCCCATACTCCCGCAGCACCCCCCACAAGAACCCCCAAGGGACCCGGTCGAAAGCCTTCTCCAAGTCCACAAATCACATGTAGACTGGTTGGGCAAACTCCTAGAACCCCTCCAGTAGTCTTGCGAGGGTAAAGAGCTGGTCCACTGTTCCACGGCCGGGACGGAATCCGCACTGCTCCTCTTGAATCCGAGGTTCGACAAGCATTCGGAGCCTCCTTTCCAGCACCCTGGCATAAGCCTTCCCCGGGAGGCTGAGTAGTGTGATACCCCGGTAATTCGAGCACACTCTCCGGTCCCCCGTTTTGAAGATGGGAACCACCACCCCGGTCTGCCATTCCATGGGCACTGATCCCGACCCCCATGCGACATTGAAGAGGCGTGTCAGCCAGGACAGCCCAACTATGTCCAGCGCTTTCAGCATGTCAGGGCGGATCTCATCCACCCCCGGCACCTTGCCACCAAGGAGCTTTTTAACTACCTCAGCGACCTCTGCCAGGGATATGGGTGAGCCTCCCCCTAGGTCCTCAGGCGCTGTCTCCTCTGCAGAGGACATGTTGGTCAGGTTTAGGAGTTCCTCAAAGTGCTCTTTCCACCGCCCGACAATGTCCCCCGTCCGGGTTAGCAGTTCCCCCCCTGCTGAGAACAGCCTGGGGTAAGCCCTGCTTTCCCTTCCTGAGCTGTTGGATGGTTTGCCAGAACCTCCTTGAGGCCAACCGAAAGTCCTTCTCCATGGCCTCCCCGAACTCCTCCCATGCCCGAGTTTTAGCATTCGCGACCACCGCAGCTGCAGCCCTTCTGGCCTGCCGGTACCTGTCAGCTGCTTCAGGAGACCCCTGGGCCAACCAGGCCTTGAAGGTCTCCTTCTTCAGCTTGACGGCTTCCCTCACCTCCGGTGTCCACCACTGAGTTCTCAGGTTGCCGCCACGACAGGCACCGATGACCTTCCGGCCACAGCTCCTAGCGGCCGCATCCACAATAGAGGCTTTGAACATGGGCCATTCGGATTCCGTGTCCCCAACCTCCCTCGGGATGTGTGAGAAGTTCTTCCGGAGGTGGGAGTTAAAGACCTCCCGGACAAGTTTCTTACATGGGTTGTAATAGTTTGCAATCTAATCGTTCCTTCTCTTGTCCACATTTCAATCATCACATATTCCAGCTGTTCCTTTCTCCAAAACTTTAACCTGTATTCCTTGTTTTATAAATATTATACACCCTCCTCCATTCCCCCCCCCCCCCCTTCTATCTCTGTGAATACTATCATATCCTTTAATAACTAAGTCTAATGCTGCTTTAAGCCAGGTTTCCTGAACACATATGATTTCTGGTCCTTTAAACTCTTGTCCATTAGCTAATAAGCTTCTTGCGTTCCATTGTAGTACAATCATACGGTCCTATCCACTGGGCCTCCTGGCTTCCCATCTTCTCAGAGTCTTTATGCTCCCAAGAACTTTCTTTTATCCCAAAAAATCTCTCAGCTCCCCTCACTATTACTTAGAGTTTCTCTGTTTTTTGTTCGACTTGGTCAGTACATACATATATGCAATAAACAGGATCAACACTGTCAGTGCTGTATTGGTTTCCTCGGACAGACTTGTCTCTACTCTCAGAACTTGTTTAGGTGTTTCATTCATTACTCTTTATCCTTGTAGCCTCTTCACAGCCTCTGCATAGCTGATGTTGTTTCCTGCTTTCACCTGTTGGATTTCCACCGCCCTCTTCCTGACTTCACATCCACCATATGTTACCCTGTGCTGGCCACCACCATTACAACATCTATCCTGTACATTATCCTTACACTCCTCCACTCTGTGACCCGCTCCACACTTGGGACATCTCTGCTTCCCTTTGCAAACTGCTGCTATATGTCCAAACCTCTGGCATAGCAGCGAAGCGGGGGAGGGACATAGGGCCTCACCGGGAAACTCATACACCCGATTTCGTCTCTTTCAGGAAGTACGGAATCCTGAAACTCAATAAGAACAGATAGGCTATCAACCCTTTCTTCATTAACTGTTCTTAGCAACCTCTTCATTCTGCTCACTTCTCCCCCATAAACACTCTGTTTGAGTTTGTCGAGGTCCTCGTCTACAGGAATACCTGTTGTCACTCCTCGTGTCACTCCATTCTCACTCACAGATCTTTTTTCACTTATCATTTCCTTACAGATACTTTCTATATCCATAGTTTTGTTTTTTTGTTCTTCCGTTTTACAAATTATCAATAAGCTTCCGTCCCTCAAGACTTTAGCCATTTCCACTTCTCTGATCTTCTTTCTCAATTCTAGACAGAGCTATGGGGCTCAGACCAACATGCTCATCTTTCTGAAGTTAAGGATCATTTTAAATTCCTCCCTCACAATCTTCCTTCGAACAACTCTGTTTCCTTCATCAGAGCTGTTTCCCTCCAAGCTTCTCTTATTATTTTGACTCCCATTCAAACTTCCCTCACCCCTCCTGTTCCCTCCCTTTTTTCGTCCTCCTCTCCCACCAGATACTGGATTCCAGCCCTCACAATCCACATCATCATCCTCATCCATTTCCTGATTTGACACCCTAATCCAGTCACAAACCAGTTTATGCCAACCGCCAAATCAAAAGGTCAAATGAAACGCTTTCAGTGCTGCCGTCTCTCGATCTTTCCTGCTCCTCCTCCGCTCTCCACCAGCAACTCGGGGGAAATGGTTTTCCCTCACGGCTTCCAAGCTACGTCACCAACTGTCGCGCACATGACCAGTCAACTCTGGATAGCTTTAGGCCAAATCCCAATGTCCCCCCTAAACCCTCAAACCCTGAACCCTCAAGGACTTACTGAAGTCACCTGGTGAGTGGGTGAGTGTGAGAGACAGTGAGGGCTTGAGATAGTGGAAATAGGAATGGAACAGCACTTTGCTGCAACACATCACGTTACCATGAAAACAACAAAAAATATGATGTATAATTGTGGGTATTTATTTTATACTTTGTACTCCCTGATTTGAACGTCTTCAGGCTCTTTCCTCACAAGATGAGGTGACTTCATATAATCTATTTACTCGTTGTCAAAACGGCTTCAATGACAAAATCAAATATTTGATGAATAAATAAATAAATATCTTCTGCTGTATAAGCTGTTTTGAGAAAAACGAGTAAATAGACTACAAACCAACATTTAAGGTTCATGCTGCCACCTACTGTACGGGAGTGTTTAACAACATGACTTTATGACATTTGTCATTTAACACAATCATTTTATTATTATTAATTTAAAATAAACTTCATAGAGAAGTTATATTCTGGATATGAAACCTGTTCCATTCATAAATGTAGATAAAGCCCTTTTAACTGAACTTGTTTGTCCCGTCTCTAACAGTCCTTTGATGCTCCACTCTCTTCCTGTATCTATCTCTCTGTTCTTCAGTCTCTCTCTCTCTCCACACTGAACTTCCTCCTTCTATCAGCACATATTCAACACTTTCTTTACTTTTGCATATTCTAAGGCTGTAACTATGTACGTATTAAATGTACGTAACGTTCGGTACGAGACTTGCAATGCGTTTGAATATTACTAGAGCATCTGGAAAATGCAGAAGCTTATATTCAGGAAAATATGTTTTCTGCGCTCATGGAGGACAGTGGTTCTCAGCTGGTCTGGCTGTGGGACCCACCATCACTCCTTAATGACAAGTCGCGGCCCAAAGAGATCGTCTTATGATTTTACTTTCACAACTTGAGCATTGTACGTACTGCTCTGCAATGTCTTTCCTCGTCTCAGTCCCGTGTCACGGTGCATCTCACTCAGTCAGAATGCCCATATTTGATTGGCTGAGCTGCATCACGTGATGTGATTCACTACCCGATATGCCTCTGCTGTTAAGATTCGTTTCACGATAGTCACGTGCTCGCCCACTGACCAATCACAGTGCACTCTGCACCTCACGGCAGACACTGAGCTGCACTAATGCTGACGTCATTATAGGCCGGCGAGCAGGCTCTGATACGTCAAAGAATACGCCCAACATGTCAAACTAAAGATCTGATTGGTTGAACACTATGACAATCAACAATATCATTCCCATTCACTTAAACTGCACATGGATGCAGGCCTCCGTTTGCAGGCCTGGGCCTCTGTTCTTACCTAGAGACACAGGTGAACTCTGATTGGATAAAAGCTCTACTTAAAACAAGCTGCACTGGAAGCAGAACAACTGAGGAAGACAGGAGCTGTGCAATGAGAACATAAGATAATGGGGAAAATATTTCTATAAATTATAATACATGTAGTGTATTTAAGAAAAATTATTAAATTATAAAATAGATATAGCTTTGTGATTGTGTTTAGGCCAGCAGAGAAGGCCTTGCTGGTCCTGATGGCCCACCACTGAGTTGACTAGATCATTAGTATTAGAACGTAATAAACTGTTATATTTTAAAGAGCAGCTGTCTGTGATTACTTTGTGCATGTATTGTGATAATAGCTGTATATGTGGTCTGTGCTCGAACTTAAACCTTCACTTTCACTCTGAATGTGTAATAGTACTCAGACTGTTGACATTGTGAGTGAACACTAATTATGAGACTTAGTTTATCGTTTGGTTATTGGTCCCTGTTCGCAGGGTGGTGCCCCGTTATTATTAATAATAATTAATAATTGTTAGACATTAATAATTCTATTGATGTCAAGAATTTAGTTTCTTAGATGCTGATAACCCAAACACGCTCCTTTAAGTTCCCAACAATGGCATGACCCTGAGTTGTACTGGAAGTCAGAGGTGTACAAGGTGAGCAGGAAGGGAGACAGAACAGTTCCCTGTGGGGCTCCAGTGTCACTGACCATTAAACTGTGATCTTGATAGACCGCTTAGCGTCACGGTCGCTTCAAACACGAGGTTTAACGTGAAGAATTCAAATGGAACACTTGTTGAGGTTCAGGCGACAAAAACACTTAGTTTGGTTTTTGGAAAGCGCCTCACGGTTGAGCTCACTACGTGAAAAGTAAAGCAGCGATTCTCAAGGGAGGGTCCAGGGACTCCTACACTCCTTTGCTTACTCGCCATCTAGCTAACCGGCGAGCATGGAGAAATACTTGAATCAGTCCACATAGTCAAGTGGCGCTAAGCTGAGAAAGTATGACGACAGTTAGTTTGGTTCAATTGAGAACAGAGCAGGGCGACTAGAAGGTGTCATGTGACCCGAGGTGCCAGCCATAGACCGTATGTAAGAGATGAACACGCTCATCGTGATCCAAAATAAATTAAGTTTCTGTTAATCTTTTTAAGTTTTAGAAAACAAATGACAACTAAGAGTACAAAGGTATTAAGTATGTTACAATTATGACGGGGGCCCCGTTAGTGGCCCCTGCCCCCTGTTAGTGTCTGTAATATCAGTCACACTTTGTGTACATTCAAATGTGGCCACAGATGACTCACAGATGCCATTAGGTAGATAGAGATGTTTTGACTAAACTAAGAGGAATAATTTACACCACCAACATTTTTAGAACATCTGTACATTTAGCAACAACATGTTCTCTCTTTCTACATAGATTTTAAAAAGTACAAGTCAAAGAACAAATATCCTCGAGTGCTTTAGGTTCCAGTCCTGTATCAGCCCAAACATGGTTTCGTTCACTTGTTCCACAGATGAAAAAAGAAATTCAACAACAAAAAAAACACCTGCAAAAATTCTTCCCCAGTTCTTCTGGAAGCAAACCGGCACAACTGCGTCTTTGGCCACGAGCTATGGAGTCCAGGTAGATCCTGTAGGTGGATCAGGACTCTTGTTGATCTGTTTGTTGGATTTCAGACTCGTGGCTCTTGTGGTTAGACGGTGGCTGGATGTCAGACTGCGACGGGTCCGCCAGCTCCCGCGGTTCAGTCCTGGACTCTGACAGACTCGGCGGTTGTCCTGGCTGAAGCAGCTGAAGCCGAGCTTGGACGTTGGACTCCGGTGGGACTTGTGGTTGCATCTTAGACTCCGGTGCGTCGGACGTTTGCCGAGACCGGCTGTGGTTCTCTGATGGGTCTGATGGCCCGTGATGTGAATCTAGATGCAACCGTCTCTGCAGCTCCTCTGCACTGTGGGCTAACATGATGCTCACCTTCCTCTGGTGGGCCAGGGCCTCGTCCTTGTCGTTCAGCTGCAGCAGGAAACACAGCGGCAATGACTAATGATCAAAACGACTTCATGAATGAAACTTTAGCTCAATAAAAAACTAACTTTACCACAAGGAGGACACAGAACAGCAATTGTCAGTGTGAAAGGTGGTTTAGAGTTCATGCTTAAAGGTACGGGAGAATTGATGTTTTAGATCGCAAACAGATGGGTTCAGATGTCCCGTTGGGCCCTCGCCCGTCTATGACGACAGGCCTTTCTGCATTCAGAACACTTAGAAACACTTCTGACTTCAGATGGACAACACGTGGTGTGAACTAGTTTGTTTTAAAGCAGATCGAGGCCTCGACATTAACAAGGAACTGTTAATGTCAAGTGATCTCTAGATAACCGGCCTACAGATGTTAAGAGGAGGTACTAACCAAGTCCAGCAGTCTATAGAGAGTCTCTATAAGATCATCGGGCATCTTGGACGGCAGCAATCCTCTCAACCTCTGGCTCACACTGATCAGAGGACTCCTGGTAGCACCTGGAGGAAAAAGATGGTTCCAGTAACTGAGAACTATGAGGCAGTAAGATCAGGTCACTCGTAGCTTCATGAGCCAGGGACAGTGTGAATCCTCGGCTTCAACAAACGATATCTGGACTCCGTACCGTGAGGAGAATCCTTCTTTCTGTGATCTGTCCACATTTAAGAGGAAAGAGGTTTTTCTGTACACAAACATTGAAATCATAAATCAATTAAATTCGATCGACTTGAGTTCCAAGTGTGTGTCGTGTTGTACTGCGTCTGTGATTTACACTACAGGTGAATAAGGTACAATGTTTAACTAACAGGCATTGCCATGAAACTTCCCCAGTTGATACTTACATGAGGACAATTATATTTTTGTATTGCTAGTTTTCTGAAATGTCATGTTTCAATATTTAAATGAGGCGTCATCTTATTGAATATGGGCTAGTTTGCATCATTTTCACTCACATTAACACCATGATTTATTGTGTTACAATTTTCCTAAAAATGTAAATTGAATATGCAAATGAGACATTATCTAATGGTAACTTTTGGTGAATTTAGGAGAAATCTACAGAACAAACAGACAAAGTAGTAAAATAAACACATAAATGTGTATTTTGAAAGTTTTCCTTCCTCTAGTCTGAAAGAAGCAAAACAGTCCAAAATCTCTAAAGTGACTCTGCCTGTAGTGTCTCGCCTTAATGTCAAGATCTGAAAGCGGCCGGAAGTCCAGAAAGACGCTTCATTAATAAAAGTCGATCACTATTTACAGCGTGTAAAAACCACACACACACGCACACGCACACGCACACACACACACACACACACACGCACGCACGCGCGCACGCACGCACGCGTCTCTCAGGACCGTACAAGTACGTGAATCAGTGTTAGAAGTTCCCAGCCTGTGCACAGGACCCCCGGCCCCCCCCCTACTCAGGCTGGTCTGATGCAGCGCTCTGTGCGTTGGGAGCACACTTGCCTTCGGCCTTGCAGCGGTGGGATTTCAGGATGTTGGCGTCGGCCAGCAGCAGGAAGTAATCACTTCGTTTCCTCAGCTGCTGTTCGAAGGCGATGCGGAAAGCATCCGCGACCATCGACGCCTCCTCTCTCCTCGAACGCTGAGCATCCAGCTGGAACACACACACACACAGACACACACACACACTTACCCAAGGTAAATAGGGTAAAATAAAATGTAACTATTAACACTAGTTTAGAGAAAGAAGAGGAAGAGGGGGGAGCTTGTAACAGGTGTAGCGGTGAGATGGAGTTGTTCACCTCCTGTTGCAGCTGGACGAGCTGCTTCCTGCCGGCGGCAGCGGTCCGGCTGCACAGACAAGCTTCAGCAGCACCATCACACCGGCAGGCCCCCAACACCGCCAGCTTTATAAAACACAAAGAAGATGAAGAACAATGCTCACTCAACTGCTGAGTACAAGTACATGTTACTTCCAAATGATACTAAAAGTCAAAGTCAAACAGTATGGATGTTAAGTGTACACCTGTGTCATGTACACAACTGCTGTGTATAGGTAGGTACTGATGCGACATATCTTTGGAAAGCTAAGATTCTTGTGATTCGATTTATGCAAACCACTTCAAGATACCATCACAACAGCAGGTACAATCAACGCCTCTGTCAGACCACCAACCAACAAACATTTACAATATCGAGGCACCTCACCAATGAAGCCTCATAATAATCCAGCATCGATAATATTCAGACAGAAACGCTCTTGCTACATTAACAAATGTCCAGACGATCCAATCCAGTCAAATATTTAGTCCAAAACACATTATTACATCCATAAATACCCACGGACTGCTGTTGCATCATTTCAAATTAGCCGGCAGATATGCCTAATTATTTATGTATTTTCCAACGTAACTCCAGTTCGCATGTAAACATTGATGGTCTCTGTGTCTCAAAATGGCGGCTGCACTCTGACCTTTCGATTGACCTCACTTGACCCAATAGGAGCTTCCATGTTCTGTCCACAGCCTACAATAGCCAAAGAGAGGCCGCGTTGAAGGAAAGTGCCCGCCCCTCTTCTTTCGTGTAAAGCTCGAGCTAATTGCAACCGATCGTTCTGATGACTGACGCTTCGTATAGCTAATGACATTACGAAAATGACGATATACAGCTTCAGGGGTTAGATTTACAGACACAACACGGAAGTCACTGCGTCACCGCGAGTCTGCTGCCGCGTCCGTGCGTAGAATGCAAAGTGTGGTTTTGGGAGTTTTGGAGACTTTAGGGAAGTGAATAATGGTGAAATAACTTATAGATAACTGTATATCAACATAAATAATCTTTAGTTTGAATTATGAACACATTTTTACACAGCCTAGGTATGTGACCATGTGAAATTTGGAAATTTTGGGTATGCCTTGGATAGGCCTTTTAGGCAAATGTTACTGGAGTGGTAGCAGGTTAAAAACAGATGAAAATGTCCATCTCATTGCTAAATACTACATATCCAGTTTCAGTATTTAGTTTATATTGTGCTTACATGGTGCGTACTCATTAGCATGTGTTTGTGGTGAAAATACAAAAAAATAACTAATACACACAACAGACAAAGAGAGGAACTTGTGTTTTTAAGTACAGTTCTGAAATATTGTTATTTTTACTGCACTACCAGCTGTAGTTACTTTTAACATAAAAAACCTTTGAGATGCTGATAAAACATCCATCCCTCCTCCTCCTCCTCCTCCTCCTCCTCCTCCTCCTCCTCCTCCTCCTCCTCCTATCCGGGGTCGGGTCGCGGTGGCAGCAGGCCCAGCAAGCTGACCCAGACCTCCCTCTCCCCCGCAACATGTTCCAGCTCATTCCCTCAAGTCTTCAGGTGCTGCCTCCTCTGCAGAGGACATGTTGGTCGGGTCTAGGAGTTCCTTGAAGTGCTCTTTCCACTGCCCGACGATGTCCCCCGTCCAGGTCAGCAGTCTCCCCCCCCCCCCCCTTACGTGTGCAAGGTTTCTGTGCCTAACGTTTTTTATCGGATTTTAAAAAACGCACACGTAAAATACAGAACTAGGTTTGCAAACACTTTTACACTCAAGTACACTGAAGAACATCATGTCACAGAGAGTGCATCATGTAAAGTCATCCAGCTCAACATGCTAGTTACTTTGAGAGGAAGACGTGCCAAGTGGTTTGGACATAACACAGTAACTGAACTTAATGTAAAGCTTCTCACACTCACACACACACACACACACACACACACACACACACACACACACACACTCACCTCCAGAACACTTGAATCTCTCTCTGGGCTGTATTGAGGCTTGGTTCCTTCGTAAGCTCGCTGCTCCTTCACGCTCAGCATGGAGAGAAGCTCCAAGCACTGCCGACTACGAGCTGCAAACACAAACACACGTAATGTTCGTTAAGTGTGTTAAAACAGCTTGTAAGAGGACATTGGGTTAAGATCATTTAATCAGTTATTTAGATGCTCATTCTGAGTAGGAGTCCCCCACTGAGGGTTGAGCTGCATGAGCTTTGGTGACCTGAAGATGATGATACATTATTCTGCGTTTACCAGAGTTTTCTGCCCGGAGCTGCAGGATCTCTCGCTGCCTTTCTTCCAGGTTGTCGGTCAGGGTCTTGTTCTCACTCAAAACTCTGACAACAACAATAAAGTCATAAACCGATGAGAATACCACAGACATGACTGTATGTGGTGTGAATCCAACCTGTTGTGTTTCTGTTCCCAGGATTGCTGAGACTTCTTCATCTGGACCTGGTTGAAGCTCAGTTCCCACTGCAATCTGTTCACCTCCTGCGAGAGATGGAAGCACCAGATCGACCCCGTTCACGCCATTAAATAGTGCTCGACCATGCCAAGAACCTCAACAGCACTGAGGACGGATTGTGACCCGATCAGCCAAACCAACTCCAGGGGAGGTCAGGGACGCATTGTCACCTCATTGTAATATACATATACATACATACATACATACATACATACATATACATATATGCACACACACATCTATATATAGGTCCAGATACAAAAGCTCTGTTGGCAGTAAGACCTAACAATGTGCTGCTGTTCTAAAACCAGCTTGGTCGCAGCCATTAGCCGGTTAGCAAGCTAAGCTAGTAGCTAGAAAGCTGTTCAAAATGGATATTCGAGACACTCGTGGATGGAGTCAAGACGTGAGGAGTATGCTTTTCAAGTCCGACGCAACCGAGCCATTTATGAAGCAACAGCTGAGAAAATGTGGAAATGTCCACAACCACAATCGAGAGGAGGGTGTGACTGTCAGTCGCTTCAGATGCACAGACCGATTGGATCTCGATGTGGACACTGGAGACACGTAATGATGCCAGGTGCCAGGGATCTGTGTCCTGTTTCCTCTGTTTGTCTTTCAGGATGTTAATCAGCCACTGATGGGCGACACCTGAGCCTGGTTTGGTCCCAGCTATAAAGGCGGCACTCTCCTCTCGGACTCTTGTTTGGCTGACAAGGCTGCTGCTTTGTTTAGTTTGTTTAGTTATTGGTTCATTACACAAATGTGTATTTATTACTTTTAACTCCCCTTCATGTTACGGCCTTTTGAGCCGGGTCGTGACATGTGGGGGCTCGTCCTAACTTGATTGACCAGATTAAGATTTGTGTAGAGAAGTTAGCTGTAGGCGTAAATGTAATCGTGTTAAATCATCATTGTTTAATTAGCTTTACTACAATTGTTCAACATCAGACCACGTGCATCCCATTTTATATAGAAAGTTATAAACAAGCCCCGATATCATTTTTCATGACTTTACAGTGATAAAATATTTTTATGCCAATATATTCTATGATCTTACAACCTGTCCCCTGTTCTATAAGCTTGACTTACTTAATCTAGACTAACACTGTGTTATCCAGTTAAAGGCATCTTCTTACTCCCATGTAGCCAACTTGGGTTTATACCAGGGGTGTCCAAACTCTTTTCAAAGAGGGCCAGATTTGATAATGTGAAAATGCCCAAGTGCCAACAGTCCCTGCTGACATTATTTTAAACAATACAAGTAGCCTATACATACATTGTTATTTAATCATTTTATTTTCAATGACAGCAAATAGCAATGTAACCAAATGTGAGCATTCATGTGTGAACACATCTCAACAACTATTCTGTTTCTTTCACATCTTGAAAGTCAGATAACACAAAGAACAAGCCATCTAAAAGCTAAGTACATAGAAACCGATCAATGTTCTCACCTCAAGACAATCTTAAATATGACTTAGTGAGGGTAATGAAAAGTTGTCTCACATGTGAGTTCAACACACATGAAACAGGCTAACGAAAAACATCAAGTTGTCTCTTAGTATCTGATGATAGCTCTGCAGTGTTACGAGCCGGCAAACATTAGCAAACTGTCTTCTTCTCGGGGCAATTATGTTTTCTGCTGTTTTCATAACAGTCTTTGATAAACTCACCTTCCGTAAAAGGTTTGTCCAGTTAGCATGGCCACTTGGTAGCTTACTGTGATGATGTGTTCATGTGAAAAGGACCGCTGCTGTGAGGCCAAGTTATCTTGGAGTTGCTTCACTTTTCTAGCTCGGTCGCTCTGATAGCTTGTTGTAGCATTAGCATGTTTGGTCTCGTAGTGTCTCTTTACATTATATTCCTTAAACAAGGCAACAGTCTCATGACTAATTAGGCAGACACAGTTGTTTCGGTTTTCGGTGAAAAAAATATTGCGATCTCCACCTCTCCTGGAAGCGGCGGCCCTCATTATCGACTTTCCTTTTTTTACTTACAGTAACATGACAGGTCAAGGGTCAGAGCCCATTTCAAACAGCCAGACAGTTACAGAGTGGTGCTGCCACCATGAGGTAAGAAGAGGAATTGCATGTTGAATTTGTATGATTTATTCATTCCGTTTTGACTGTGCTGGCGGGCCATAAATAATGCATTTTAAGACAGAAGGTGCGGGCCATATAAAATCTGACCTCGGGCCGTGATTGGCCCGCGGGCCGGACTGTGGACATGCCTGGTCTATACGAACAAAAACAGAGGATTTGTTTCTCTTATCTTGAATAACGGACCAGAGGTCAGGAATTTAGTGAGGTTCAAGTCTTTGTCCTCAAGACCCACGTCAAGACTAATGAGTCCCGAGTCAAGACCCACGTCAAGACTAATGAGTCCAGAGTCAAGACCCACGTCAAGACTAATGAGTCCAGAGTCAAGACCCACGTCAAGACTAATGAGTCCTGAGTCAAGACCCACGTCAAGACTAATGAGTCCTGAGTCAAGACCCACGTCAAGACTAATGAGTCCAGAGTCAAGACCCACGTCAAGACTAATGAGTCTTTAAATTTGAGGTGTGGACTCCTAGTCATGTGACTCGAGTCCACACCTCTGCAAAAAAGTCGAATGAATTGTGTATGATTCGTGTGTCGGATACAGAACTAATCCACTTGTTACGAACAGAAAGGTCAAGACTCCTTTCAAATCACCAACAATCAAATCAAGCTAGTTCAGTGGGCCATGGACAAAACACAGTGCCCTGACATGGAACCATGGGAATATGGTTTATAAGTGAAACATGTTGCTAAATTGTTCTTCAGTCATGATACTTGGCACATTTCTCTTGGTGGGCTTTCACTGCCTGGAGTGGACCTCTGTAAGCAGTGAGTTGTCTCTTTATAGCGCCCGTCTTGTGCCATTACACTGGTTCCCTTTGCCTGTGATACATTAGTTACTGACTGTTCCTGTGCAGTAGAAAACTGCTGCTGAATGTTAAAGTAAACAGACCAAGCCCTTATTTGAGCAGCCTCTGCTTACCTTTTCCAGAGCTTTGGCCTCCGCCTCGCTCTTCTGCAGCAGACTTTTCGTGTGACTCGTGGCTTTGTCAAGAATGGCCTGCGTGAAGAAGAGCAGTTCATATGTACCGGCTGAACGGAGTCCAGACCTGGTGGGTTTTATCTCGATGTATTACTTCCTTCTCTCTGACTGACGGAAACTACTCCAGAGACAAAGGTGTTTAAATGTAAAGGACTGGTCTTCACCATCAGTCCCAGTAAAATATGATATATCTATGTACATTATCGGAAACATCTGGATATGATAACCATATCTTTAACTCTTGAGTCAACGTGGAAAAGAAGTCATTTTAGTGCTCAGAAAAAAAGATATAGATTTGAAAGTCTACATTTCCATGACAGCTGTGTAACTCCATCTGCTCATCAATGAGCCGTACTTCTACATTGGCTGACATGCTTCATTACTGCGCGCACACACGCGCACGCACACACACGCGCACACACACACACACACACACACACACACACACACACTAGTTCATCTAAACTCAACCCTAAACACCATTAATGTATGTTAAAAACAACAGCGACCAGTTGTTTTAGAAAATGAGTCTTTTTAAACAATAGAGTTTTCAAACGGTACGTCTGTCAGCCTTTTTTCACAGATGTGCAGCTTTAGTAGGAACCAGTGGGCTGAGGACAAACACCAGTACTGTACGAAGGACTGACACGTCATCCGTCTTTTCGTGGGATTTGTTGGCAGAAAGAAACATGAAATATCACCAGCTTTAGCCTTAAAGTTGGGGAGACCAGAAGAAGACCAAACCTGTGGTCTTTCTTGTTCAATATGGACCCGACGTTCATTTGGCCATAATGTCTATCGGAGCTTTTTTCTCACAAGCTTCATATTATTCTACTGGGCAGTGTTCGGGTTTGTTTTTGCCGACTGACAGCAGGAACCGCGAGGTGACATGTTACCAAACAGCAGTCATAGAGGGTCAGAACACAGCGACACAGAGGGCCCAAGTGGATGCTGCTTTAACGGGTCTGAAGAGAAAAACATCGAGAACCACCGTCATGTACCAATTCTACACAAAACATTGCGCATATCAGCAGGTTTTTAGAGGCGGGAATAAACCCACTAAAAACAAGCCGTAGACCTCTTTGTCACTGCCAGTAGACGAGTGTGCCGCACCGTTTTCTCTTTCTGGTGCGTCACGTTAGACGTCACGAACGTGCCAGAGAAACAGGGTGAGTGACCTGTGATAGTGTAACAGCGATTACATCTCTTTAAAATCGGTTACTTATTCTGTCTCTTTTAAACTCCGGGACAACTTATTTGAAACGATGGAGAGGAGCAGAATATGTGGCTGAAAAGGGGTGAAAATGAGTGTTTCCGTCCCCGCTGATTGGAGCTGGAGACGATAAATACTGGTGAATACTGCCGAGACATTTGTCCCGGGAAAGAATGCCGATTGTAAAATGTCCCACTAAAGACAAAGGACAGATGTTAGCGGTGTTAATGTTCTCTTTGTGTCCAGTGAGAGTCTTTGTACCACACGGATGCCGGCTGAGCAGCGTTCTGGATGGATCCTGGCTGCTGTGTGTTCATGGGACTGAGGTGTGTGTGTGCTGCTCTACCTTTCCCTGCAGGATCTTCAGAGCTTCATATTTGCCTTCGACGTAACGATGTGCCACCTCCAACTCGCAGCACAATACGTCTATCACCTGTCAACACAGCAGAACCATCACTTACACTCTGCCCGGCTGAAGCGGACAAAGTTACAACAATTACAGTTTGTCCTTTTCTTTCCTTCTTCTTCTCTCCTCCTACCTCCGTTGCTTCCTGGAGTCTGTCTCTCAGCTCGTCTTTGGACAGGTCCACCAGTGAGCCTGTTGATCCACAGAGTGCGCTCGTGTATTACAAGTCTCAGAACGTGTGTGTGAGTTGTAGCTTTAACAGATTCAGAGTAAAGACGCCTTGTTTCAATGTTAAACCACGTAATGTATGCAATGTATTTGTAATGTAGCCATTCAAGCTATTGCAGTGAACATTTTTTGTGCCAAAGATTTTCATAATGCGCTTGTAATGTTGTATGTGTTGATTAATATCAATCAATATATTTATATAAGTCGTAGTTGTTTATATAAAACCAAAGAAACATCTTTTTTTAATCCACACCGCCTCATTGGACTTGGATCCTGTTGATCTATTCCTCAGGTGTTCTTACTGTAGCAGGGCGGCTTCCAGCGGGCTCTCTGCTGCGTTCCCGTGGTCTTCAGTCCGGGGATCCAGGCCACCTCTCCCGCCCATCCGAGCGGCTCCGTTCTGGACAATGGCATCTCCGCGAGGCCGTCCGAGCTCTGTCTCTTGTTCCTCGTGGAGCTCGGTGCCGCTCTGACTCCCATCCCGTCGCCCAGGTCCCCGTTCGCCATGTCATCATCCAGGCTGCAGGCCTCACCGGCCTCCTGCATCTGTCCCGGGCCAAACCCTGACCTTTCAGTCAGCACAGTGTGGATCTACTACACCTGACAAAACACATCGATTTGCTCAAACTTCAAATTGTTCACTCAAAACATACCTTGAGTATTTAATTCACTGGCACTTGCAGACACTCCCGTCTAGTTCTTTAATCTATAAACGGTGTCTCAATGGTGCCGGACATTGTAGGATGAGGTCATAACTCAATACCTACAAGAACGGACTCCTTGATGTGGTCCAGATTACTGCCTCATCTCTCACACACACACACACACAAGCTGGAGAGCACTGGTTTAGGCCATCAACTGGAACCCAAAATGACAGCATATCTATAAAAATAACAGAACTAACTCCATGGTTTGGCCAGCTTGTTACAGACGGTAACGTTTCTGTAATTCTGGCCTATTTAAAAGGTTTTGGGCAGCCCGGCCCGCTGCATCTCTTGCTGTGAGGCGATAGTGCTAACCAGTGCACCACCGCTCACACAGCTCATCTGCTGCAATTATCCAAAATACAATGGAAAAGAAAATCCCATTGGCCTTTTGTGGAGGAACCAGGGCGACCGTACTTCCTGGTTTGTCACCCTGCAGCACTGAGACTGTGACACTGATGGGAATGTCATGGATTTATGCGTTCACTTCCCGTTTCACATCGGACAATACAATGAAGCTCATTTGTGTGTAAAAGAGAAAACAAACAGAAAGTGCCTCCTATTGGTCGTCTATGGAGCAGCTCCACACTGCTCTACTTGATGACGTCAGTATGAGACTTTGAGAGCAGCGCACGTTCACAGCCGTGCACGTGACATGCTGGAGCTAAACCTCTTCGTAGATATGTGGCAGGTCTGCTACAGTCCGTTACAAGCTACAGTATGGCCGACTCACTAGCTTAGCATGACTGCTACAGTATAGGGTGAGGTTTTCTACATACTTTAATTCAACATACACAAACATGTGTTATTCATACAGTGGTACCGACGTCAGTGAAGCCCACCACCCAGCAGCGGGACTACTTCTGCCTCCTCGTAGTCGATTAATCGACCGTTTTGGTTTGAAGTCGAATCATATTTCTTTAACAGATTAGTCGTTTTATGCTTTATTTTGTTGAATGACTTATTTCCAAGACACTTATGAGCACCCATCTGTAAAACAAGACATTTAAAGTGATTCTTTGTGGAAGAAAATAGTTTTATAGATCTGTTGACTAAACCGACTAATTGATGAGTTGCTTTTAGTTTTATGATGATCATAAAACTAAACTATGACAATGGATCCTCACCACTTAGTCTCTGTCCGAGTCCCTCATGTGTAAAACTAGATGAAACACGAAAACAAAACCGGAACTGATCAATATTTGTTAACTTAACGTTAGTTATGAGTGACTTCCTCTTACCCGAGACGGTGAAGCAGTAACGTTAAACGTTATGTTCCTCCGGTGCTTTACAGCCTCCAGCGACGCACAGACGGGAAGAAAAAAACGTGTATCCCGGTTTTACCGACGAAGTGAGCGCTCGAGCGAGTTGACATTAACACAGCGGCGCGTCAGAGAAACTACGAGGTGAACGTTGATCCACCTGCCGCGAAGCTCCGTCAAGCTACGAGCGGCAGCACTGAACTACTTCCGGTCAACACCGTGAAAAATAAAATCCATCGTATATGTTTAATTGTACAAAGCACGACGCTCGCGAAACAATACCTCAGCTAAATAATAAAGTAGAGTAAATGAGTGATACAACAATGAGACAGCAAATTTAAATAAGTATTGAAGGTGGAATCATTTCCGAAGTTAAGTGTAAAGTAGTTTAGCGAGTCTCCATCAGCGGAGGGATATTTAAAGCAGCCTCATGTGAGACTGTTGAGCAAATATTGGATGAAGGGGTGTGTGAAAGTGTTACAATCAGTATGGAGCCCAATGATCCGCTTTTCACACTGTTTTATTCACTTGCTTATTCAGATTTAAAAAACGTACATCTCTCAATAAGCACATGTTGGTAATATGTATGTTTCTGTCTATCCATCCACACAAACAGAAACAAATAAAAAGGCTGGGCTCCCTCCTGGACAAATCCAACAGTCACTAGGCAAAAACTAAGATCTGTGAGGTACACAGAACAAGTGGTGAACATGCACTTGGATCAAATAAATACTGACAATAATTCAACTGAGCTGCTGAAGGAATACTCACCTCCACAATGATAACCTGTATATCATCATTGACCCAGTGTTACCTTGAATTCTTGAAGAAAACGTTTCTGTCCCATACCTCAACGGTAAAAGGACAATTAAATAAACCCGGAGTAAAGTTTGGAGGCGCTGCATTTAACCAACGCAAAATCATATCAACGGTTTACAGACTGCATTGGTCCGGACTCGTGCGGACGCGAGCGTTACATCAGTAGGTTTCAGAGGAGGTGCGTACGTTTGTGAAGCAGTGAGCAGCTTTGATTCTTTGATCGTCGTGAAGGCATGTGAGGAAAACAACGCTTCCTTCAAGAATTCAAGGCAACACGTAGTTAGGAAGCGATATACAAATGTTCATTTTTGGGTTGAAGTATTTCTGTAAGGGACACTTTTGGGAGATTATTAAATTGAATCCCTGTGCTTCCATATTATTAGGAGCCTGTTTCCAGCTGGGGAATCACATTTAATTCAGGTTCTTCAAGACAAGCTTGTTTGAAAGATTTCTAGTACATATGGCGCCTCAATGAGGCATAAACACTGGTAACACCAGAGCTATTATCACAGTCTGCGACATAATACGGAGTACAGTTACAACTACGTGGAGAATAATTGAATAATGCAATCTTACAATCGTGAAAAAAAAAAAAGTCAAAATTCTCCTGCTCGTGGCACAAATCACCCTCCATACACAGCCAGAAATCCAAACAACAAGAAAAAGTTGACAATGACAAAGTGTAACTGTGTGACAGTACGGCAGAGCTGAGTGTGTTAGTCACTGTTGTAGTCCTCTATGACCAAGTCCTCCTCCCCCAGAAGGACCTGGGTTGTGGTAGGTTGGGGCTGACTGGCTGGCAGACCCTCCTCCACCCCACCCTGACAGTCCTCTTCCTCCTCACTGTCTTTGTCCAGCTGGGCCGGCTCTTTGTCCGTGAGAGCCTCCAGGTTGAATCTGCCAAAGACGGAAACAGAGACAGAAGTCTAGCACACTCTACGCCATCGGTGGACCAATATCTGTCTGAAATTGAATAATAGGTGTAACTCTGTTGAGAGATCTATTTGGAGGTAAAACCGTTAATGTTCAGAGGAGATAGCCCTCTGTGAAGGTGTAGAACACACCGACAGGGAGCTGCAGTGTTGGTGAGTGATGCCAAATGTTACAGCCTTCTTTTTGTTTGTAAGCATGATCAGTCTGACAAACATGAACCTTCACACTCAGGACGGGTTGTAACGAGCAGACAGCTGTTTGCAGCACTCTATAGCATGCAGTGTACATGGATATTGACAATTATTAGCGCCCTGTTTGTGAAAATGTGTTCTCAGTTACTGACACTGCAAAGTCAAATCAGCTCTGAGTGTCACCATCAGCTGGAGCCTCGTAAGTAAACATGGAGTGCTATTAAAGCCGTTGAAATGATCCTGGTGGAGGTGAACACGGTGTAATGGTGATGTCCCTGGTTTGAACACGGCCGTGGTCCTACTCATTTCTCCCGCTTCATATTCTCCACCAGTACAGACTGCTGCTGTGAAGGCTGCTTGGATCTTTCTGGATCGCAGACTCTACGTTCCCGTCAAAACCCACAGACACACTTGAATCTAACGGCGCCACGAGAAGAGGAAAACGCGTGCTGTACCTGCCGGGGAACCTCCTCAGTGACATCTGACCCACGTCCTGGATGAACGCCATCTGAGCTGGGAGACACGGCAGAGCACAAGACACTTAACGTTAACGAGTCCTCAAACGTCTTCAACGGACACAAACTGTTCAAATGAGTGCACAAAGCTCTGGTGGTAGTGGTGAGAAGCCAGATCCTCACAGCAAAAATAAATAAAAACTCATTTAATCAACTTCATGCATTACCTTTGATCACAGTGTTTTACAGTACTAACCCTAACCCACAGAGCAAAGTGACAAAACTAATAAGAAGGAAGCAATAAAAACCTCAAAAAGAACAATCACTGTATTTGGAAGCATTCAAAGTTAGCCCTAACATAGCTTTGCTTTAATACAGCTGTGATCAACCATATTGTTAGAACGAACAAAGCCAGGAAACCACGGCACCGAGTGCGTGTGTGTGTGTGTGTGAGAGAGAGACACCTTGGTTCCTCATAGGGTTGGTGAGTTTGGCCAGGTATGGCAGCAGCTCCGTCTGCAGGCTGACTGGTGTCAGACAGAAGCTCCTGAACAGGGACTGGGCCGCCAAGCAGTTCTCCCGGTGCTGAGGGGACAACATCAGTCTCATCACAGTCTGATCTACTGTCACGGACATCGGACTTCCTCAGTTTGGATTTGTGAACAGGCCTTCTCCACTCTAACTGTTGGACACCGGAGCCCCTCAGGGCCGTGTGCTTAGCCCCCTCCTGTTCACGCTGCACACCTGCGATTGTCCCCCCGAACATAAAGAGAACTCTGTAGTGAAGTTTGAAGATGACCTATCATCACACTACTATCCCACTTCACATCGGGAGATAATTAACAATGGTGCAGAGTGAACAAACTACTGCTCAACGTTGGTAAAACCAATCAGTCAAAGACACACCACCATAGCCTGTATGTAACAAGTGGACGTAGTCATCGTGACGTCACCCGTTGGTTTGTGGACTGATGTTTTCAAGCCTCGGGTTCGGCGATTTCGCCATCGCCATTTTGGATTACGGCCGTCGCCATGTTGTTTTTTTTTGCAACCAATGAACAGAAGTTACCATATTTGGAATGTGGAGGAGTGACGTAGAGACGCCGTATACGTCTCTGGTAGCGGCAGCAACCTGTCAATCACACTAGCCCCGCCCTAAAGCATCCCCTGCTTTATGGTCTGTTTGACTCTAAATGGACCATAATTTACTAAATGAACATCATGCTGTATTGAAGAAGACTTGAAACTAGAGACTGAGTGAGTGAGTGAGTGAGTGAGTGAGTGAGTGAGTGTGTGTGCCTGAGCCTTTTGAAATGAAAGAAAAGACCATAAGAAAGTACAAAAATGAAAGGGCAGATTACATAAATTACAAAATAAAACCCAAAGACAGGAGCAGTATGGCCCTGTCCACTGGCAGCAGACCAGGACCAGGGCACCGTCAGGGAGCTCCAGAACAGGACAGTAGGGTCAGTCAGGCCGGGTCAACCGGGTGAAACATTATCTAATTAATTTATTTATTGTAACTTTTGTATCGATTGTATTTTATTTAATTTATTTATTATTATTTCTTTAGACTGATCGGTCCAGCTTTGTGTCGCCCCCAGAGCGTTTGAAGAGGGGGCTTCTGGTATTCAACATCACAGAGAACCTAGCATGGTCTCTACCCTGGTAACGATTAGAAACAACCGTAATATACCTCGTTTTATTTTATTGTTTATATTCTAGTCTTATTTCAATATCTGTTCATACATTTTCTGTGAGTGCAGCGTGGAGGGGCTTCAACTGCATTTTTATGGTGAAATCCTGCATTGTATAATGACGACAATAATAAAGTTTGTTTGAGAATATTTAGAAACGGTGTCTTTTGTTACATAGTTTGTCCACCAGAAAGCCCTGACTGGTTTCTTCAACTGTGTGTATCTTGCTCACAAACCTACGACTTGTTAAACCAGTCCTCACATTCAAACCAAGTCCTCACATTCAAACCAGTCCTCACATTCAAACCAAGTCCTCACATTCAAACCAGTCCTCACATTCAAACCA